ACATGTATAGTTACTAATAGCTGAGACTAGAATACAGTCTCCTAAAGTAAGATAGGTTCCCGGTAAACCTATCTTCCCATATAAAATCCCATAAATATGATTTTAAGTAAATACATTTCTCATTGTAAAAGTGATGCTTAAGGAGAGCACTGAGTAAAAAGAGTGGATTGAGGTATGAAACTACTTCCAGTCTCTCCTAAAACCCCACAAAACTATAGCGAAGGGCTTTTGTAAGGCGTAGACCAACATGGAGAGGGAAAATGTAAGAAAAGACAAAATTTGGGCAACTGGAAAAAATGGACGAAGGATCAGTGACATAGTCGACCGGAAAAACAGAACGAGCGCCTGTGTCTGGCTGTGCGGGTTGTGTCCTGCCCAAATTCAGCAGCTACTCTCACTAGGACTCCACTGAAGGCTTCCTGTGGAGTGGTGCTGAGCACAGCCTGCACAACAGCCAGCCGTGGCCCTGCCGAGAAGACAGTGCAGAGCAGCCGTGAGGAAAGGGGGAGCCATCACAATTTGCGTCAGAGAATTCCCAAAGGTCAGGAATTGAGGTACCAGATGGCTCTGGAGAAGACGATAAATGAGAAGGAAGTGCACACACAAAAAATAAGGGTGGGCTATCGGTGTAGGTATAGATAGAGAGAGAGAGAGAGAAAGAGAGAGAGAGATTTAGCCAGCCTACAATGTATTTTGTTGTGAAGTGTGAGGCAGGGATCCAATTTCAGTTTTTTCTTTCTTTCTTTCTTTTTTTTTTTTTTACTATAAATTTGTATATTTTCCCACTAGTTCTTTAGATCTTTATTATTACAGGATTCTATGATTCAGATCAACAGTTTCTTTTTTTTTAAATAAATATATCTAATGTTTTTATCTCCCTACATGTTATGAGTATGCAGCCTATCCCAAGAATGCCGCGGGCTTTTTTTAACATTTAATATCCCCTTCACCCATTTCTCCCACCCCCCAACTCCCACCGCTGGCAACCACCAATCTGTTCTCTGTATCTACAAACTTATTTGTTTTGGGAGGAGGGGGTTAGATTCCACATATAAATGAGATCATACAGTATTTGTCTTTCTCTGACTGACTTATTCACTTAGCGTAGTGCCCTCAAGGTCCATCCATGTTGTCGCAAATGGCAAGATTTCCTTCTTTTTTATGGCTGAATGATATTCCATTGTACATATATACCAAAGTTTCTTTATCCATTCATCCATCAATGGACATTTAGGTTGTTTTCATATGTTGGCTATTGTTAATAATGCTGCAGTGAACATGGGGATGCATATATCTTTTCAAGATAGTGATTTTGTTTCTTTCTGATAAATACTCAGAAGTGGAATTGCTGGATCATATGGTAGTTCTATTTTTAATTTTTTGAGGAACCTCCGTACTGTTTTCCATAGTGGCTGCACCAATTTACATTCCCCCCAACAGTGCACAAAGGTTCCCTTTTCTCCACTTCCTCGCCAACACTTCTTATTTCTTGTCTTTTTAATAATAGCCATTCTAACAAGTGTGAGGTGATATCTCACTGTAGTTTTGATCTGCATTTCCCTGACGATTAATCATGTTGAGCATCTTTCTATGTACCTGTTGGCCATCTGTGTGTCTTCTTTGGAAAAATGTCTATTCAGGTCTTCTGCCCCTTTTTTAATCAGATTGTTTTTTGCTATTGAGATATATGAGTACTTTATATATTTTGGATATTAACCCCTTATCAGGTATATGATTTGCAAATATTTTATCCCATTCAATAGGTTGCCTTTTCATTTTGTTGATGGTTTTATTTGCTCTGCATAAGCTCTTTAGTTTGATGTAGTCCCACTTGTTTATTTTTGCTTTTGTTGCTTTTGCTTTTGGTGTCAGATTCAGAAAATCATCACCAAGACCTATGTCAAGGAGCTTACTGCCTATGTTTTCTTCTAGGACTTTTATGGTTTCAAGTCTTATGTTTGCATCTTGAATCAATTTCAAGTTAATTTTTGTGTATAGTGTAAGCTAGTGGTACAGTTTCATTCTTTTGCATGTGGCTGTCCAGTTTTCCCAACACCATTTATTGAAGAGACTGTCCTTTCCCCAGTGTGTATTCTTGGCTCCTTTGTCATAAAGTAATTGACCATATGTGTATGGGTTTATTTCCCGGCTCTCTATTCTGTTCCATTGATCTGTGTGTCTGTTTTTATGCCAATACCATACTGTTTTAATTACTATAGCTTTGTATTATAGTTTGAAATCAGGGAGCATGATGCCTCCACCTTTGTTCTTCTTTCTCAAGGTTGCTTTGGCTCCTTGAGATCTTTTGTGGTTCTATACAAATTATAGGATTGTTTGTTCTATTTTTGTGAAGAAAGCCATTGGAATTTTGATAGGAATTACATTGAATCTGTAGATTGCTTTGGGAAGTATGGACATTTAACAATATTAATCCTACAATCCCTGAACATGGATATCTTTCTATTTATATGTGTTGTCTTCAATTTCTTTCATTAATGTCTTGTAGTTTTCAGTATACAAGTCTTTCACCTCCTTGGTTAAATTTATTCCTAGGTGTTTTATTCTTTTTGATGCAATTGTAAATGGGATTGTTTTCTTAATTTCTCTTTCCGATAGTTCATTATTAGTGTATAGGAACGCAATAGATTTTTGTCTATTAATTTTACATTGTACAACTTTACTGAATTCATTTATTCTAACAGTTTTTTGATAGAACCTTTTTTCTAAATGACTAGTTTTATTGAATATTTGTTGAATGCCACCATTTTCAAATACTAAATACCTTTATCTTCAGAGAGCTGCTTCCAAAATTTTATTCTAGCCATTGATCTGTCTACGTTACTGTGACTCATGCACTTATGGGCCCAGGAAACATAGTAGAGCTGAGACTTTAGGTTGGGTATATTCCTGTGAAACACCGCATTTCTCTAAAACTGATTCGTAAGGCCATAACTCTGTTAGTTCTCTGTTTCCTTTTAAACATCTTAAGAATTCATTGCCCTTCATGAAGCTCATATATTTTCCTTAACCGTACCTCAACATGAAATAAATTGTGTCAGTGATTATCAGAGCAAAAGTGTTAGAACCATCCATGCTATAACCATCCTTAGGACTTAGACATTTTGTTGGTCTTTTAATTGTGTATTTCTTCTGCAGGGTAATGGAACATACAAGATCTTTTGGTTTTAAAGCTGCCTTTTATGCAGCTGAGATCCTTAGCCTCCCCTGTTCATACTTCCTAGCTTGAGGCTGCATTCCAGTCATATTTAAATACAATCTGATGTCCATCTGCACAAGGCTGCCTATAACCTCCAGACATCTGTACACACTATTGCTAGTGCTTAAAGGATACTTCCTTCTCATTCATGTGCTGCAATACGAGTTATCCTTCAGGACTCCGTTTAAACATCACCTCCCTATGGGAATCCTTCTTTGACCCTTCTCTTACCTGCTCCTATAACACCAGATACATTTTCCAGCATATTGCTTATCCTAATGTGTTGTCATTGACCAGCTAATGGTCTGCCTACCTATGGGATGGTAAGCTCCTTGAGGACAGGAATTGTCTTACTTTCACCTATATCCCTAGTATGTAGCACAATCCTTAGCACATAATGGGGACTCATTATGTCTTGAGTGAACGAATGATACTTGTTCATTGCAGAATGTTTGGGAGTAAAACTGAAAAAATTTTTTTAAAAGAAAATGAATATAGATCCCAAAACTTCAGACAACTCTTATTAGAATTTTTGGCTTCCTTGCTTCTAGTTAACTTTCTCTGCCAACCTCACTGCGTATAAAGCTTTGAATACTTCTGTTTCCACTTCACAGTATACCGTGAGCATTTTCTTATGTAACTACAAATTCTTTGGAAATGTCATTTTAAGTTATAACAAGAAGATTGTCCTTTAGAAGTAACATAGTTTATTCGGATATTCTCTGTTGTTGGACTTTGTTACTTGCAATGTTTTGCTGCTGTAAAAAATGCTTGAAGGACTATTTTTGCAGCTCTGATTATTTCTCTATATTGCATTCTGGAAATTAAATTACTGCATGAAAATTTCATAGTTCCAAGTGCAATAGATCAAAGAAGCTACCTCAGTGTACCCTTAACTGTAATATTACCTTTTTTTGTGTGTGTGAGGAAGATTGGCCCTGAGCTAACATCTGCCAATCCTCCTCTTTTTTTGCTGAGGAAGACTAGCCCTGGGCTAACATCCATGCCCATCTTCCTCTACTTTATATGGGACGCCGCCACAGCATGACTTGACAAGCGGTGCGTTGGTGCGCGCCTGGGATCCGAACTGGCGAAACCCGGGACACCGCAGCAGAGCGCGCACACTTAACTGCTTGTGCCACCGGGCCAGCCCCTGTAACATTCTCTTTTTTAAAGAGTGAAGATTTCATAAACAAAAAGGAGTAGCTCATTTTTACTTTATATTTATTGGTCATTTATATTACAATCTTTTGTGAATTGTGTAACAGTAATTTTTGCCCATTTTTCTGTTGGACTGTTAGTTTTACTTACTGATTTAAAAGCTCTCTATATGTTAAGAATACAATCATCTGTGAAGTTTTTAGAAATATTTCCAATGTGATATATGCTTTTTGACCTTATTTTTCATGTTTTTGACATTTTTTAAATTTTATACACATTTATCGATCTTTTCTTCTGTGATCTGCTCAATTGCTTTTCCATGTAGACTATCTTGCCCTACTTATATTAGATATATATTTTCTTACTTAGATATATACTTGTAAGATATATTTTCTTCTAGTTTTATTGGTGTCTTGTTTACATTTAACTTTTTGACCCACTTAGAATTTATTTTGGGCTATAATGTGAGATGAGGCTCTGATTTATTTTTACAAAATAGCCAATTTTCTAATGTCTTCTTTTGGCCTTCAAAGAAATGTTACTAAAGACAATTGTATTGAGATAACCAGCATCCAAAGACATAGTTCAGTGTTCACCATCAACTTTGCTTTCTCCTCCCCAGGTGAGCAGGAACCGGCTGTAAGCAGTGATTCTGACATCTCGCTAATTATGGCAATGGAGGTTGGACTGTCTGATGTAGAACTTTCCACTGACCAAGATTGCGAAGAGGTGAAATCTTGAAATGGCAAATACAGAAAACAGAGATGGTAGGACCCAAGGGGAAGGAAGAGAGGAGTGCCCCCAAGACTTGGACCGGGCACACACACCTCCAGAACACGTTGGCAACTCCAACGGCGCTCCCCTCAAGAATGGTAACGAAAAGCAATATCCAAAGTCACGTTCATCAGGATGCAGTTTCTCCATCTCTGCAACAGTCCATGGCCTTGGCAGCTGGGAAGTTGAAAGCTGATTTTCCCTTCCATGTCCTTGTAGACACACACTTCAGAAGCTCCTAAAACAGACTGAAGGACAGTATTAGGGCTTCTTAGTTTCATTTCCATTTTTTCCAGGTCTTGTTCTCTTGTTTTTTGGAATGTCGTTTGATTTCTTTGGCAGTTTCCTTTTAAAGGCTGTGTGTAGTTTACTTTACATCCACGTCTTTGTTTTTCCTTTGACTCACTCCAGCTTTTGTATAGAGTTCCATTTAGAAGCACCAGTTCTTGCTATGATGAGTTTGTATTCCATCTCTGAGATTAATGGCCTTGACCTCTCAGCCTGAAGTGTGCATGGCTTTGGGAAGTGCCTCAGCACCCTGAAACAGTCTAAGGACAGCTTTCATTAAGAATCTAAATTCTTTTAAGTGGATTTTGAAGATCCCAGCTGCCAGAGATCCCCAACACTAAACTCTGAATCTGCTGAGGCCACTGCTCCTTATTTTCAGCTACATCACCCTGGCTTCCACTTGCCAGGCTCTGTTAAGGGTCCTTGTGACATGAGAAGGAAGCTCTAGTGGGGCACGTCAATTTGTCTGGGCCTTACAGTCTTTGGCTGAAATTCTGAACTCAGAAGTGCCCTCCAGAGCATTAACTCCATTCTTCATGGCTGTAGGGCTTGTAACTGGGACTGCAAGCCTGGTCTTAAGACCAGACACCACATATTCTTCTCAAAAGTAAAATGTCTGTTGTATTGGTTTCCCCAAGGCTAGAACAGTCCTTTGTTACCTCTACAAGTGGCTTCTGCAGCAGATGGAAGCTTTAGAAAAGATCCAATCATCTTTGAGCCCAGTCTCCAATGCAGTGGGGGCTGCAAAAGCACCTAGCTTTTACTTTAGTTCCAACACACTTCTATTAAAGCTTGCCAGACCTCGAGGAAGGATTTAGGTGAATCCTTAGAAAATTGCTTACCAGGGCTTCCTGAGTGCATCCAGATACCAAGTGAGAAGGAGGTGTGATTTGATACACCATTTGATCTAAAAGGTACAGCATGGAAATTTGCTAAATCAAGTTTCTCCTGACTGAGAGAGACAAAGAGGGAAAGGAAAAGAGGTATCAGATGAATACTAAAACCCACCGGCGTTTTTAAACTGTTTATGTTTTTATTCTTTTTTTGTAACTATGACAGAGATGTGCTATTTTTTCAGTGGGCAATTTTGTAATACATGTAGACTCTACAGGTGCAGAGATGACTAAGGTAGTGAATAGTTTTCTCTGGACAATCTTGGATCACCTCATCCTCTGTAAGAAGGCCGTGCTGCTGCTTGGGGAAACTAGGCAGAAAGCTTTTCTCACTGAGTGATTTACATATTTGATGAGGCTTTTCCACATCATTATGTCACACACATCCCAAAGCAGAGTCTGCCATAAAACCTTGCTGCCTGCTGAAACGTAGAGGGTATGTCAAGGGAGACCACTGGCTGCTCTTTTTTTACCTCCTTTAATGATTTCCTACTTGATGCTTTCTAAGTAGGCAGCAAAGCAAGGAAAATGATTACCACCTCCAGAAATGTCACGTCTCTCTAGGAGTCCAACATTTCCTGTGATGAAACCCGGTGTCTGGGATGAAACCCAGTGTCTGGGCGTGGGAAGGAGGCCGGGAGGAATGAAGACAGAGCTGAACCAGGAGTCAGGAGGCCTGGATGAGCCACATACTTGCTGGGCCTCCACTTCTCCACCTGTAAAGTGAAGGAGTTTAACAAGATGGTGCCCAAGGCTCCTTCTGACCTTATGACCACTGAGTGTTTTGCCAGGGGGATCCATTTTTCGCAGATACTGATGACATGTAGCAGACTTTATACCTTGGGGAGGCAGAGTAACTTGATGTGTAACATACAATAACCACTTTTGAGATTTGGTACTCCTGTGTTGCTGAGAATGAATATCTAAATGATTGAAGTTTTAAGGCCAAGGAGAAGTTGTTTAGTTTTGCCTTGTTTTAAAATCACTGTTAGTCGCAGAGTTTGCAATCTCTGGATACCTTCACATCCTAGTTCTCAGTGTGGAATTCTTAATCTCAAGGTGTTTCCTTTCCTCGATCAGCATAGGACTGCACCCCCGACTCCTTCAGTCAGCTTTGCCCAAAATAAATTTTGGTATTAACCAAAGTCAAATGGGATTAGAAGGATAATTCAACAGCAAAAGAACTGTAAATTGTATTCCCTACCCAGAGAGAAAATACCTTGTGGATTGTGTAGTCCTCTGGTGAGTGTTCTCTCTTCCTGCTGGCGACCAGATCAATCAGGAATTGGTTACAGACATGTGCTGTGGCCACAGCGGCCCTTATAGGATTCTGTGTAGATGATGAGGGGCCCAGGAGGCCCATCTGAAATGTGTGGACCTGACCCCGAGGAGGTTCTGCTACAAACCCCCTGAGCCTAGGAGGTTCTCTACTTACCAAAGGTTTGTTTCTGGAGGATTTTCCTGTGGCTTTGGTAATTAAAAAAAAAAGTTTAACCAGCATGGAAGGATTCAAAAGAAATGGAAACAGGCCTTCTCCCATAGACTTCTTCACTCCCTCCCCCCAAGAGGGATCTCTGCGCTGGGGACCTGGTGGTGTACAGAGAGTGTCAAAGGGATGGGAACCCTTTAGAAGTATATGCAGACTTGATGTGTATTTGCAGATGTGCGTTTTTCTGTAGTGAGTGTCTAGACCAGCACTGTCCAATAGAAATATAATGCACATCACAAATGTAACTTTAAATTTTCTACTGGCCACGTTAAAAAAAGTAAAAAAAAAAACAGGTAAAAATAATTTTAATAATATATTTATTTCATCCAATATTGTTTCGACATGTAATTAATGTAAAAAGTATTAATGAAGTACTTTAAATTCTTTTTTGTGCTAAGTCTTCTAAATCCATTGTGTATGTTACACTCACAGTACATCTCAGTTTGGACCAGCTGCATCTCCAGCACTCATAACCACATGAGGCTCGTGGCTGCCGATTGGGACAGCACAGGTCTAGAGCTTCTCCAATATCCTCACTAGATTCCCTGAGCCTTGCAAAGACAAAAGGTTAAATCCTAATTACCTCCAGAGAGAACTAGACTCCACCCAGTGAGAAGCCCAGAGATCCATTTGTTTTGTAATGAATCAGTTTTCAGAACGCCCTTTTTGAAATTTCTGCTTGACATGTCTGACCACACCACTTATGTCCATTATTGTTTACTGTTACTTCTCTGACCAGTTGTTTTTTTAAAAGTCACACAAACCATGTTGATTTGGTGCTGAAAGAAAATTATATCCCTAGCTTCTGTGACAAACCCGTAGACTGATATGTGGCACTCAGGAGCCAAAGAGAATTCCAGACTACGGGCGCCCAGCTTTACCTCAACCCCTAGTTGTCCTTCTTCCTGGTTGGCAGAAGGTCTTTTCCCAGTCCCAGTGCTCCTGGCCCACATAGCTAAAGCATTGTGTATTTGGGAGGAAAAAGTGGGAAGTTACATATTGACTCCAAATACAAGACTTTGTGTGGCCTTAGGGAGAAAAAGTATTAGGGGCTTGTGACCATCTGGCCTCTACTTGGTGAATTATGACCACCTGCAATAGCCAACTCTCAACTCAGATGTCAGCATCCCCCTCTCATCCCAAGGCTGTGGGCAAGAAAAGGAGCATTTCCATTCCCTCAGAATAATTTAGAGTCACTTCTAAGAATTGCTACCTCCTGTGTGGCTGATCCCTTTGGAAGGAACTGAGCCCTGATTATGAATACAGCATCTGGATATTGATTTAGTCTCTAGAGTCTGGTCACCCCTGAAATGTCAACTCTGTCATCAAGGCAGGAAGAGGTGGAGAGTTTGGAGAAGGTAGAAAGTTAATAGTGACAAAGGCACCTCCTATTCTGACATCACACAGTAATGATCATAACCATGGAGGCAAATCTCCGTCCAAAGAGGGTTTTGTTGTTGTTGTTTTTTGTGAGAAAGATCAGCCCTGAGCTAACATCCATGTCAATCCTCCTCTTTTTGCTGAGGAAGATTGGCCCTGGGCTAACGTCCATGCCCATCTTGCTCTATTTTATATGGGACGCCACCACAGCATGGCTTAACAAGCAGAGCGTTGGTGTGCACCCAGGATCCAAAACTGCAAACCCTGGGCCGCCGCAGCGGAGCGTGTACACTTAACCGCTGCGCCACCAGGCCGGCCCCTGTCCAAAGAGGTTTTTTTGTTTGCTTTGTTTTGTTTTCAGCATTTTCCTCATTCTGATGGAAACATCCCTGGACCTTCATGGGTCTGGATTTGGTCATATCAAAAACCATGGTGCCCAGTGGCTATTTCAGTTAGTGCCCTGACATCCCTGTGGCTGCCATACTTTCAGAACCAAAAATGATGACAGATCGCCTAACATAGGCTTCTTTCTTATTTATGCGTTTTGTTTAGATGAAAATTCTTGCAGAGCATAAAAAATAAATGGCATTTCGTTATCCATTGAATGCATCGCGCCTTGACTGAAAGCAAAGAAATCTCATTAAATCAAAATTCTTTCAGAAAATCTAGGATATAGAGTCACTCTCTCCAAGGGGCAAGGACCCAGCCTTCTCTGGGTCTAGAGCCCCTGAGGCAAATTCCGGTAGCATTTTTATCTGCTTTCACTTAGATTTCTTGCCCTTTTCTGTCTGTGTGTCTTTCTCTATCTCTGGCTTCTCTGACTGCCTTTCTCTTTGTACGCACACCCACACACATTCTTTTCCCGTCTTTCAGGGCAAAAAACCTCTGTGGCTCTGGAACTATAGAGTTATTCTTGTGATGATCATTGTTACTGTTGTTGGTGTTTTTCTTATTATGGGGTAGCAGTATCTATATTTGCACTTCTGGTGAGGAAAACCAGTTTACTATAGAAGCAAATTAACTTCCTCCTTAGTGGAGCTAGGCTCGTTTTCACTTCTCATATCACTAATTTTATCTCAGACCACCTATAGCTATTGTTATTTTTTTTTTTCAGACTTCCTTGCCGGAAAAGTCTCCTAGGCAAATAATGGCAAGGTAACAGTTCCAGAATGCTCTCTAGATCGATTAGCTTCCACATCCAGCATTTGTGACCTTCCTAGTTCACCACAGGCCCCCAGGGTTAGGATTTCTTGGACAGACTTGTGGGCTGTCCTGTATCTGATGTCCACTCATGCTCCTTAACATCGTAGCAGGAGAGCTTGCTTACGAACAGGTAAGTGATCAGGAGGCCACTTCTTCCTTAAGACTGAAAAAGAGGCACAAAGAAACTATCCTTCTAAGGTGAGGGACACACGGTTCCTTGTGCATTGCTCTGTGTCACAGAAGTCCCTCATCCATGCTATTGCATAGCTGGGACTGAAGAGTACATTTGACGATGGCAGTTATAAGGAGGTGGGAATACTGCCTGCGGGGAGTCAGAAAAGAGGATGGCAGGATGTGAACATGGATGCTTTTCCCGAATAAATGGTCATCCTCTACGTTTAGAGCTGACCTGGGTTTTTTGGGGTGAGGGGGGCGGATAAGGAGTTGAACATTCATGAGTTAAACTCTTATGATTGCAAAGAAGGTTGAGATTGTTTGAAAAGTAAATTGATTCTGAGAAGCAGGTATGAGTTTTTCATCGTCACTTACCTCTTCTCTTTCCCTGCTTTTCTTCCCATCTCACAACTCCAGGCCTTTTGTAATAGGAATAAGAATTTGTAAAGACCCATAGATCAGTAGCCACACACTTCCACTCTGAACCTTTTGATGGCACTAAATTATCATCCCAAAACTAAAGACGTGATACCGGATCCTAGATGTGAACTCTTAATTAGCAAGCCCTTTAATTACAAAACCTGCTTGTTCTGCAAGGAACCTGCTGAGGTCATTCGCATCTCCCTTTGCCACCCTCTGAACTATGCCCACCTCGAGTGCTTCACGGTCAAGTGGCTTTTTCAGGAATCTCAGTGATCAAAGACCTTCTCATCCTCGTGCTACTGTTGAGGTTTGCACTTACCACAGAGCCATTCATGCTATGGCCACCTGATAAATATTTGTTGATGGTGATGGTAATGGTAAGGCAAGAATATACATCTCTTAAGAGGTCTGCAGGTCTGAACAGAGTGAGGGAGAAAATCTGGAGAAGGTAGCTCCACCTGGGTTGCCCAGAGTCACTGCTTGGCCGATTGTCTTGTCATCCTTACTAAAGTGAAGGACTTGGAGAAGCAGGGAAAATGCAGGGACCATGTGTACTGTATAAACCAAAGACTGATCACCACCCACATGGACACATGTTTTTTCTATTGACTAGTTTAGTTTTCTCCTAATATTCTCATAAATGAAAGTAAAGGTGGGTTTCCGGGTTGAATGAAACTGTAAAACCTTCGAGGGGTTTCTCTTGCAGGCTGGTGATTGACCTTACTAAATCCAGAAATCTAAAAAAATATATCGTGGCCTTAGTACCACACCATCTCTAAAGTCTAGCGTTTAGCCTCCTTTTCCCTCAAAAGTTGTAGACAAATCTAGCGCTTTATTGAACTCTGAATATTGTTCTGAGAATGTGAAGATTTTAAATAGCCAAAGAATTTTCATGTATAAGAACTAGTTAATTACATTATATCTTGCTCTTTTGAAGAACATACCAAACTATGGTCTGTACTGATAGTAGAACAGTTGAGGACCACTACTATATGGACTTTTCAGCTGTGTTGGTTGGCATCTATGGTACTTACTGTTCAGGATGTTATTGCAAGGGGACAGGGTGCCCTCTGCTGGAATAATCGTCATTATTTTTTCAGCCAATTAGTTTGACTAGGGTCACCATTTCCTCAACAACTGGTTATTTGCCTTTCATCGTACAACTTCTTCCATTGCTGAGAATTTGGTCCACATTCATCAAAAGAGGAAGGAATGTCACAAACTCTGAAAAGTTGAAGGAGAACCCCACAGAAGATCTCACTGTCAGCAGCCCTTTCTTCTGCAAAATGTTGAATTGCTTTGTTTGCAAAGAAGATGCCTCTGGCCGAAATGTTTGTGCAGAGTTATAAGGCCTGGGCCTGATTGTTTTGTAACTTATCTCAACTTGATTCTTGTCAAATTGCAAAGGAAGGTCAATAAACAGACTTCTTTCATATGAAGGTAAATGGTGTGAAATACTGACGTGTTTTGTACATGTACATAATAATATATTTCCTTCCTGCTTTCACATTAGTAATCTGAAATGGTTGTACCATTTTATAATTAGAAAGAGATGTAGGGGTGGGGGAGGGTAGGGAGGGACTGTTATTTTTATAGTGGGATGTCCCTTATATTTAGAAAACTTGAAGTAATTTTGTACTTGTGAAAAGTTACATTCCATTCATTTCCTGAAAAATAATGGGTATTGTTCTTTAAAATGTTCATGAGCTGGGAAGATGACTATTCTAGTTTCCAGGGGATCCTCACACGCAGTATATAAGTGACACCTGATTTTGTAGACTGCAGAACATGACCAGAAATTGCCAGTTCAATAATGTGAAAAGAAAAAAACCCAATTTATTTTAACCCCTTTGTATATATCACATTATTTTTTTCCACTGGAAAAAAAACATCTGCTACAAAGAATGAATTTACCATTATGAAATAGTCAGATATAGCATCATACATCAATCTGTAGTGCCTCCTTGCTGGCGAGAAAAAAATCCAATGGATTTATTTTTCCTTCCTAAACATACATTGTGTGCTTTTATTGTAAAATGAACGGGTAGAATTTTACTGAGCTTCCCCACGAGGTCTTTCTGGCCAGTCTGCAGATCATACACATGATGGTCCCATCACGGCTTTACCCATCCTCTTCATATTCAGATCATGAGACTGAGCTCCCTTGATTTATTTGGAACGTGAAATCACAAAAGTTATTTCTGATGGCATTTGCATGGGTGACTTTTAATTTGGACTTTGGTTAGCTCTTAATTGCTGAAAAATTCAGTAGTGTGTTCTGTAGCTATTTTCCCCAAACATCATCATCTGTACAAAGTCACGGGCATATTTAAATGATTAGTTAAGGCAGTGTAGCTGTTTTTTTTTTTCCTGTATAAATCTCTTTCTCCTTCTTCCTCACCTCAGGCACCTACCTTACTCCTCCCAAAGCACTTTATATCTCTCTTGAAATGCACAGAAGTTTTAAAAAACTGTCTTTAAAGGGATTTGTCTTCTATTAGGAGACAGACTTTTATTTTGCTTTATTCTATTCTCTGTGTGCTTGGAGAGCAGAAACAGTTCGTCTCTTACTGGGCTAGTGATGAAATATTAAGGATGATAATTGGAAACAGTCAATCGTACAACATGGCTATTTTTGTTATATAGAAGACTATCATGTAAATAAGTGCAATCGTGTTCTTATGTACTTGTTAAAAAAAAATTGCAACTATAAAGATTTGAAAAGGATTGTGAATTCCAGGAAATTTCATTGCAAAATTTTGTTTGGTTTTGTTTTTTAATAAAATGGAACCGGATGCTTGTGTTTGTGTCATTGATATTTCCTAATCTTCTTGCCTGGTCTTGAGTTCCAGAGGTGTCACGATGGATTTTAAAACATTGACATTCATCATTAAATGGTGATTATGTTAAAAGAACGAGAGATTTAATAACTTCTTTATTTCTCTCAGGTAAATCAAGTGCCAGAAACCAGACCTCCTGTTAGCTCTGTTCCTCTAAGTGAAGTGATTAAAGGCTTTTGAGCACCTCAGGAGAAGAATGGTTGCTAAATTAGCTTGAGGTGCTGTTGGGTGGGAACTGGGCACTTTTGTCTGAGCCTTATTGGGCAGGTTATCCTAAGCAGGATTACACCACGGATCTCACCAGATGAGCTGGGCGGCGAGGTCCTTTTTTATATTTACTTGTACATCTCGAAAGGATTGTAAACAGCAATTTCTTTGAATTAGCGAGGGAATGCTAAGGAAATAAAAAACGATGGAAGCAGCCAGCCTGGGAAGAAAGGAAAGAAGAGAGGTGTCCCTATTATTCATTGTTATCACCTAGTTGAAACTGGCAGGGCCCTTGGTGTGCCTTAGACGCACCCCCTGGAGGAGCAGGCAGGGTTGGACACGCCAAGTGCAGTTCAGCCTGTGACAGAAGCCTTCCACCTGGCCATGCACCCCTCCAGGAGCTGTGGATTCCACACAGTCGGCTGGCAAAAAGTCAAACTGTGTTGAGCACTGTGGCCTCCCGGTGGTGTTTCCTACCCAGATGACGAACTGCTGTGTTGACAGCGGAAAAACATTTGTGCCCTGGAGACTCTGCTCTCGGGACCAGTCCATGCTTAATTTGTAGGTAGGAAGATATTCTAAGGGGATTGTTAGTAACAATCATGATTGTGCCACATTAGAAGTCACGTTCAACTTTGTGCTTCATTATCACAATTTTTATCTGCCTGTTGTCAGCAATGAAGCTGACATCTGGGGATGTGAAGCTATTACCCAGGATCTAGAAACCTTCCCTCCTGACTCCAATGTCCACAATACTTCCACTACACCAGGGGTTCCCAATTTGGGAAACATGTTCTCTGGGACATATCCTGGGATGTGTTAGAAATTACAGCGCAGAGTCTCAAGGTCAACTCAGTTGGGATAAGGCTTCATACTATACATATTAGCTATTAAAAACTTTCAAAAAGGCTTTCATTAAGTCACCAATTCGACTTTGTATAACCCAGCTTTTCCCGAAGCTGACTGATGACAGAATCCTCATTCTCAAGGGGCTTCATTTTCAACGCTGAGCTGGACGAGGCTGCTTGCATGGAACGTGTTGGTGTTCGAACTGGAGAAAAGCTGCTAGATCTCATTTCCCACCTGTCTATATTGCATACCCCACAGACCCTTGTTTCTAGTCCCTGCGCCTACTTTATCAGGGAAAGGTCAGCGTACACAGGTTGCACTGCCAGCCTGGTGCCTGCTTCACCTGGGCTGGAGATGTTCCAGGAAACAGGTCACTCGGGGCCGCTCAGAGTCAAATGTGTGCCAGGGAGCACCGGGGGCTACGTGGCTGCCTTATTATCACGCTTTGACCGGGGAAGTAGAGTCCCTGCCCCTTTACACAGTCCACTTTGTGGGTTTTTGTTTTGAGAATCCATGCAGCATATTCGGCCCTTTGAGAATGGAGTATTTAAAACTCTTCAGAGCTTTGTAATAAGCCAGCTTGGCCACCTGATTCTCTGTTAACACCTGTTTGCAGTATGAGGAGCTATTCAAAAAACACAAAAATGTATTTAGTTCTTTTCTAAGTCTCACAATTCCTTCTAAAACAATGTTAAGTCTCCCTGCTCATCTCCTTGCCTTGGTTGAGTAAGACATTGTGCCAGATTGAGGAACGGGGATGATGGGGGGACGATGTGAATTATTTTTGCTCTATGATAATTACATGAAAGAGTGGGAGTGCCAGCTGATGAAAAATTCAGATGACTGAGATGTTTCAGATGTTTCAGAACAATAGTTCCATCACGCTTAGTGATCCAAAAACAGAAATTAGTTTACCTTTTATTTCATCACACTCATTGGTATAGAGTCTCCCTCAAGTCTCACTGTGATTCTTTGTTCTTGACTGTGAGAAGAATAAGGGACAGTGACCTTTCTACTTGCCATCACATACCAGGAGAGCCCTCTGCTCACCATGGTTAGATCTCCCTTCATTGATTTGCAGTCACAGTGCCCTACCACTGGTAGGATACCACCCTAAATCTGCAACCAGTGGGAGCCTGTATTTGCTGGCACACTGGGAGGTAACACTTAACCTCCCCAAAACCCTCAGGCCTTTCTGCTGTGGAAGACATTCCCCACCCTCTCCCAGTGGGAACATCCAGAAGGTCTGATCATAGTCATGACCCCCCTAACCTAAGCACCCACCCGCTCTGTGCCTCCTGCTAACACTCCTACCTTCTTTGTTCTTAAGGATCATTTACTAAATAGTCAGGGGAGAAACCAGAACCAGCTTTCATTGGCAGGCAACTGCCCTTGGTTGCTATGAGAGCTATATACACAACACAGCTGTCATTGATATTATGGATCTAATAGGAGTCAAGGGTCTCAAATCTCTAAGAAAAAAAACACACATAATTCAGAGCTTTGGAAATGGCATCAATATCTATAAATAAATGTGAGCGCAGAAAGTTAATTACAGAATATAAGAACACAACAGAGTGTAACATCTCATCGCTATGGGCCTGGGCCTGATGTTTTCTACCAGCAAAACTCGCAGTAAATCTAACAATGTACAGCCCTTCCTTTACAATTGGGAAAATTAAAAGTGGTCCATTTGCCTCTTATTACTTTCTCTTTCCCTCTTTTTTATTCCCTTTGTTTGAAACAAGGAGGAGGAGAAAAGGGAGGACATTAATTAGGGGCAGAGGTAGGGCTAGAACTTGGGTTTCCTGACGCCATTGCTAGAGTTCATTGGGTTGCATCATGCTCCTTCCATAAATGGGTAGGCATCTCCAGACTGCTCAGAAATCTCAGGAATGGAAAGCAAGGAAAACTGAAAGTGGACTTCATTATATTGATTTATATTTTGTATAGTCACAAAACACTCCCTGAGCAGGAACAATTCTAATCTGGAAACAAAATAGGGTGGATGCAACCACAGTACAGAAGCAGGGACACATGCACGTGTGCGCGCGCGTGCACACACACACACACACACACCACCTATAAGGTGAGTCCCCAGTGATGCTAATTTTAGCTATGCAAGAAACCTCATTGTCTTAAGACCCCAGTATGCGTTATTAACTTTCTAGACTCCCTCCTTCAAAATAAAATTAGTTATTATTTTGTACTTTCCAAAACTGGCTCACGGGCAACAGCCTGCCCCTCTTCTAGCCTCTGCTATGACGCTGAGACTTGCTTGACAGGAAGTATAGAGAAAAGACTTCTTTTTCATATATTAAGGGAAACTGGATGTCCAGAGAAACCCTCCAAACTAGAGAACACTTAAAAATATGGGGATAAAAGATTAGAAATCTCCTTCAAGAAGGATAGTTAAGCTGGTGGGAAAGTAAGACAAATTCTTGGAAGCCAGAAACTGTAAGAAAGTAGTACTCAGAGGGGAAAGTGAGCATCAAAAAGTGAGTTCGCCCTGGGGGCATATGCTGATCCCTGATGGTCTAGGGAGCCACACGTTTTTTCTGTTTTTTCGGTAAAAGGCCAGACAAAGATTTCAGGCTTGTGGGCCACACGTGATTTCTGTCGCTTTCCTTCACTGGTGTTGTTTTTTACCAACCCTTTAAAAATGTAAAAACTGTTCTAGCTTAAAGGTCATACAAAAATAGACCACAGGAAGAGTTTATACTGCTTTTGCCAGGGACAGGGACAGACTCCAGGGTCAGAATCAGAGACCTTGGCCCCAAACCAGCAACCACAATGGTGGATAAACTAGGAAAACCTCAATGAGCAAACCAGAAAAAAATATGTCTTCCAGAAGGAGTTGATACAGATGTTACAAGTGGTGGCCTTGGTTCTAGATAAGGAGGAGAAAAGATGAACCATCTCCCCCTCCACTTCACACCCCCACATGCTCTAACCACAGACAAGCCTCTGCATGAGCTCTGCACCAGAATCTAACCACCTGCGGGACCTGAATACCTGAGGCACAGATTGAGTTTAATGTGGTCCCAGACTGACAGTTACACTAGGTGTTCAGTAGAGTCAACTCATATCTTCACCGGAGGATACTCTTTAAACCTGACCCTCAAGGAAATCCCCCCGACCAAGTTCCAAGAAACAGAAACTCACACACAAAAATCTCAAAACACGTGAGGAAACAAACCACTGTGAGGAAGACAGAGTGCAGAGTGAGACGCAGAGAGATTCACAATGTGGGAAATATCAGGTACAGGATACAAAATTCATGTTGAAAAGAGCCCTCCAGGGGATTCTAATGCACCCTAAAGTTTGAAAACCACCATTCTAGTCATTTCAGAGCCCAATAGAGAGCCCCCAAGTGCCAAGCGGCAAGAGAGAACAGGTGAAATCACCACCTTGGTTGGGCTGCTTTCGTCTTATGATGTGGATGTGGAGGAGATTGAATTCCACCCATAACATGTTTTATTGCCTGAGACTATTTGACTTACAGATCAGGAAGGAAGAAACAAGGTTCTATTTTACTTACAGAGTCCCATATGCTCTAGCCCTGCCTATATCTCCAATCTCCCTCTCTCTGAGCACTCTCCTCCGGACTGGCAGGGCTACAGCCACACTGTGTCTGTTGGTTCAGTGCTGTATCTTCAGGACCTAGGAGCCGCTCAGTGAAGATTGTTCAACTCATAACTGAATGAACCACCCAGGCTCAGCGTTTTAGCCCAAAGAACCCTAGTCCAGGCCTGCATATTAATGGAAAGAATTGCATGCTGAGGAATTGCTGCTACTGACTCCGAAGAATAAACTCAACAGTGACTTTAAAATAAATACCTAGTGCTTATAATCACTGCTATCATATGAACGTCAGTAATAATAGCAAACCCTTGAGTGTCAGAGTTAGGTGCATGTTAGTGCACCAGGCACTTGGTAAGGGCTCTATCTGCATCATGTGATTGGGCCCTGGCCATAACAGTTGAGGAAAGTACTGTTGTTATCCCCATTTTTCAAATTCTGATAGTGAAGCTTAGGAAGTAACTTGCCCAAGATCACACAGCCAGTAAGTGGCAAAACTGTTCAAAACACCCAAGTCTTTCCAGCTTCTAAAAGCTGTCCTTCACCACTGCGTCACACTGCCTTCCCTCTTCTGAAAGGAAAGCTGACATGTTTCTCTACCTCTAGAAAATAAGAGGAAATAGATTTCAATTTAAAAAACAAACAAACAAAAACAACAACAAAAATTTACTTCGCAGGGGAGAAATCTAACCACCACCACCTCCCAGGTGATCAGCACTAATCTCAACAGTGATGTCATGTTGATGGTGTGCACCCTTGACATGATGTGATGAGATGGTACCCTATCTCTGTGGTCTTCCTCCCAAAACCCATAACTCCAGTATAACCATGAGAAAAACATCAGACAAATAAACATGGGGGGACTTTCTACTAAATACTAATACCGATAATACCAGTACTCCTCAAGACTGTCAAGATCATCAAAAACAAACGCTCAGAAACTGTCCGAGACCAGAGGAGCCTAAGAAGACGTGACGAAATGTAATGTAGTATCCGGGATGGGATCCTGGGACAGGAAAAGGACATTAAAGGAGAACTAGTGAAACCTGAATAAAGTCTGGAGTTCAGTTAATAGTGACGCACCAACGTCAATTCCTTAGTTGTGACAAATGTACCCTGGGAACGTCAGAGGGTAACAATAGGCAAATCTAGGTGAGGAACACACAGAAACTCTATAGCATCTTTGTAACTTTTCTGTACGTCTAAAACTATTCTAAAATAAGTTTATTTTAAAAGATATTTTTATCAAATATAAGAATGCAATGGATTATTAGAAACATAGAAATTGGTTTTTGATGATATTGTGGAGTGGCCTTCCCTGGAAATTTTAAGAATAGAACGGACAACTCAGTATCCTGAAAAGATTAGATATTTTTCTTGAAGCAGGAGTCTGGACCAAATTATTTCTCAACATCAATTCCAGATTTTTTAAGAGTATAAATTTGTGATTTGTATTAATTTTTACAATGACTCTTAAATCCAGAGTAATTGGAAAATGTACCAGATGAGAAGCTAATCATTTATAATTATATGTCAGAGTTATTGCAAAGATAATGAGTAAGTTTCTTAGCCGGTGCACAGTAATTACATTTAACATTAAATGAGTGAACCGCAAACACATACACACACACCAAATGTTACAGAAAGCTTGCACTTTGTGTTGGTATTTATGTCGTTGAGCTGTTTCTCCCAGTAGGGGGCTCTGCTGACCATCAAATGGAAAAGACATCCTGGCTTTGGAGAACAGAGGTACATGGATTCCACTCAAATAGTGTTTGTAGAGTAACTTGGAAGAATAACCTTTCAGAAATCCTCTCCAGTAATACTTGTACAGTAGGAAACGGGGATTAGACAACAGCAACCAACATGTTTGGGGTAGCGGGTGTTTCACAGAAGGGAGAAAGTATATTGGTCTACAACAGAAAACAGAGCCCTTGGGCTATGTATTATTGAAACCATATACCCCAGCTGAAAAGGAGGTTGGCAATGACAAAACTAGAAATGCCTTATCCTAGGTCCAACCTGAGTTCCTGAAATGTAATGTGGAAGGAGTGTTCTTAGAGTGTCGTCTACTCATTGATTGACCACAAATATCTTGTTCCACATAGCATTTCACAAGATAGCTCATGCACTTAATTCTTTACCTAAATGAAGCAGCAAGAGCAGCCTCTAAACACATGCGCGTGCACACACACACACACACACTCACACTGACCCAATTAAAATCCTTTAACACCTCCCATTTCTACTAAGTCCAAGTACAGGAGAGAATCCTTAACATGACCTCCTAAGTCTTGCATGATCTGGCCCCTGACAACATCTCCAGAATTAGTTTATACCACTCTCCCACGTGCTCCAGCCCCACTCCCTTCTAGTTAATGCCTGTTCATCCTTCGGATCTCAGCTCAGGAGCTTTCCCTTGGAGAAACCTTCTCTCACCCCAGGTTGGTTAGGCAGCCCTGTTAAATGCTCACATAGCGCCTTGTACTTTGGCTTCATAGCTCTAATGACAGGTCTACTCCACGTGCTAAACATAGCACTAAACAATGTTTAGCATTAATAATTCACTTATATGATTGTTAGATTGATATCGATTCTCCTTGCAAGTTCCTTGGAATTGGGGCTCCCATTTCTATTCTCCGTGCATCCCAGTGCTAGCATAGTACCTGGCTCAGAGTAGGTTTTCACTGCTTCTTTGTAGAATAAATGATTGAAGCAATAACCAGCTACCTGCCAGCTGTCCAACTCACTCCTACCTCTTTTACTCTTTTCATCCAAAAAGAAAAAGCCACTTCACCC